CTATAGAAATTTTGCGTTTCTAATCTACAAAGCAATTACAAGCAATGATCATGACTAAAACAGGAAATTATCGCGATCACCGCTAATTATTTTACCGCATATTTTAACAGACTCATGCATGATATATTTTCTAAATATAAAGCAAGAACAACATTAGTAAAAAATTTCGAGTTAAACTAATTAATCTAGAAGGCAACTGTAGGCAATGATGTAAAAAATGATCGTGATCTGCCAATTATTATCATCTATAAATTTCGCTAATTATTACAAATATACAAGTACTGCACATCTTTCAATTTGTTTATGCATAATTATTCTGTAGAAAATTTATCGTATTATTATTACTGTTGCAATATCGCTACGAGTAATACTACGACCGCACGAAGTTAGAATCTCACGAATCCGTCGTACGAAGTTAACAGAACTGTCGCACGTACGCGCCACTCGCGCCAGCTAATGCCATCCCGCGATGGCAAGTGACGCTACGGTTGCACGGAGGTTTACTTGACGAATCTGTCGCATATTCGCATTATCGACGAAAAAACAGTACCTAGTGGCAGATTTTTTATCAGGCGCACGTCTAGGGCTTCAGTGCTGCAGAGGCCTTCAAAATCGGTGTAATCCAGCGGTCCAGAAGGGTCACAATTCACTGAACGTATATCCTGGTACATCCCGGGCACACAGAAGCATTCGATATGCCGCACTCGCGATATCCGTATGTATAACGATCGTACCACAGCGTTCGCGTTACGACCGACACTTTACGAGACACTTCTGACGGTTCTTCGTGCGCGAGAGCCACTTTTGGAGCCCTGACGATCGCGAGATATACGGAAGGATTCGAACTCAATCTCACCCGCCGCGATGCCTTCCGTTAACTGAGACTGATGGGGTCAACCGTCTTTATCGACGAGCGATATTGCGATTCTCGAAGTATCGCAAGAGCGGAGCGTCGATTGGCTCCCGCAGTAATATTTGCTCCAATTACACTTCGCGCATTCGATTTCGGAGCAAGAGAAAAAAAGAGAAAGAGAGAGAGGGAGAGAGAGAGAGAGAGAGAGAGAGAGAGAGAAGACAGAAACAAGTGCAGAAAGTGCAGTTCGAACGAGCAGAGATTTAATATATAAAAATTAAGTTTAAAATATCGCAATATGTATAAATATCAAAGACGATACAACAAATGCATTGTTATAGGAAATATAATAGACAGCAGCTAATTACTCGGCAGCTGATTATTAAAGCGAGATATTTTAGGTTTCATTCATGCCGACGCGCGGATCTATCATCCCTCGAAATCCCTTCCTCTCGCCTACTGGGGAGCGAACGGCCGGGGGAACGGTCAACGGTGAGGAGCCGCGGCAGCAGGATGTCGCTGTAGCGCGCGTCGTCGTGCGTGCGTGTCTCTCGGCGTCTTGACGCATCTCGTTCTCGCCGAGAACCCGGCGCGCTCGGAGGAGAGAATCGCGATCGCGGCTCGGGGATAACCAGAGTGAGGACCGCGCCCGCCGCCGCTCGCGTTGGCGCGAGGCGACGCGATTAAATGAGACGGGGCAGTACCTGGACAAGTACTACGTCTGGTGCGCGAACATGTCTACGGAGACCGCCCTGAACGACGTGCCGAATATTGCGTCGCGGATGCAGGGCCTGCGACTGATGGCGGCGCATCCCGAGGACGAGCGCGACGTTGCGACGACCGAGAACGCGACGCTGGCTGCCGGCGGCTCGACGGCCTCGGCGGCCTCGACGGCAGCGGCCAGCAGCGATGGCGTCGTGGCCGACGGCAGCGGCAGCGGCAGCAGCGGGCCGTCGTCGTTGAGGGAGCCGCTGCGAAACATCACCCTCTCCCGGGCGCGGCGCGCGCTCAACTTCGTCGGCGACGAGGACCAGCCGCCGAGCTCGTCCGCCGCGCGGAGCGAGGCCTCGTTCGCGAACAGCGATAAGTAAGCAATTTTACTCCGCCCGGAGTAAGATAACGCGTGGAATTAGCATTGCTTGTCCAAGTTTCTTTGAATGTTTTTCGAAAAAACTCAAAGTATTTATTATGATCTTCGGCGAGATTGTTAGTATTTGTTATTTGATATAGTCGTATTCTTGGCACTTTCAGCCGGCCACCTATTAACGCGGCAAACACATCGTATTTGGATGGACGAGCGCAGAATAACGCTACTTTGGAGAACTCCACCACGCAGAATCAACCTGCAGTTATGTACAACTGGCAAGGTACAAAGGCAACGATGCGCGAAAGGATTGTATTCCTCTTTAACAATGAAATACTGTCAGACGTGACTTTCCTGGTGGGAAGAGGCGCGCAACAACAACGTATACCAGCTCACAAACTAGTCCTGTCCTCTGGAAGTGCTGTATTCGACGCAATGTTTAACGGAACGCTTGCGACAGCTTCTTCGGAAATAGAAGTACCTGATGTAGAGCCTGCTGCATTTTTGGCAGTGCTCCTTTTTCTATACACTGATGAAATACAGATAGATCCTGAAACTGTGATGACGACGTTATATACTGCTAAGAAATACGCGGTGGCCGCTTTAGAGAAGCATTGCGTTGATTTTTTGAAAAATAATTTGACGAGTGACAATGCTTTTTTGCTGTTGACGCAAGCCCGTCTCTTTGACGAACCGCAATTAGCCTCGGTATGTTTGGACACCATAGACAGATTCACGACTGAGGCCTTCAATGCAGATGGGTTCACAGATATCGATATCGATACATTGATGATAGTCTTAAAAAGAGATACTCTTCGTGTTAGGGAATCTAAACTGTTTCAAGCTGTTCTAAGGTATGTTCCAACGCTGTGGGTGGGAGGGGTGAAATGTGTACCGTTCATTCTACATAATACTTATATTTTTGTACAGGTGGTCAGAAGCTGAATGTGTAAGGCAGCAATTATCAGTTACTCCAGAAAATCAACGTCTGGTTTTGGGCGATGCTTTGTCTTTGGTTCGTTTTCCCCTTATGTCGAAAGAGGAATTTACAGCGGGTCCAGCACAATCTGGATTGTTAAATTATTCAGAGGCTAGTATTACAACATTCTTTCGATACATATGATAATTGTTACATTTAAGCTAAAAAAGGTTTACACTCTAAAAATTTACAATTAAATTTTACAGGTCTTATCTTTATTCTCGTATTTCATACTGAATCCCAAACCTGCGGTGGGATTTCTAACGATGCCGCGGTGTTGTATGACAGGCAAGGAACAGACTGTATGCAGGTTTCAACATACAAAGAGTAGATGGGGATATTTCGGAACTAGTGATCGCATTCGGTAAAAAATTATAATCCGTATTCCGTGCGTATAGTTAACGATGGAAATCACCGATGCCCGATGTAATCGAACATTTTAATTCTTGCAGATTTAGTGTGGATAGACGTATCTTTCTACTTGGTTATGGAGTTTACGGTAGCACGCAAGAACCAGCGATATATGAAGTAACAGTCGAATTAATTCACACCGCATCAGGAAAGGTGATAGCTACAAATGCAACAAGTTTCAGCTGTGATGGATCAAAGTACACATACCGTCTAATGTTTAAAGAATTAGCGGAAATCTTACCAAATACGATTTATACGGCATCAGCAACTTTCAAGGTTGTTATGTTGTATTTTGCTGTATCTGATTTATTATTTAATTATTATATACGGGAATATGTAAATAAAAAAATATTTATATATTTATTTTTCAGGGGCCATACTCATATTATGGCACAAAAGGAATGAAAAGCGTGTTGGTGGATTGTGATTCAGGAAATGGGAAAGTTAAATTCAAATTTAGCAGTGAGTTGGGAGATAATAATGGCACATCTACTGATGAAGGTCAAATACCCGAGCTTATCTTTTACATGTAATATCATTCGCGTATAATGACATTCCTGGTACTTGCTTGACTGAATATCAGATAAATTACCTAAATCATGTATAAAATATGCTGGATTTTGTCAATTATAATATCTTGTGATCGTTTAAAGCAGTGATTTGATTTAAAGAAGTGATCTATGGGCATGCCAAAGGAGTTAACCCAAGATTTTTTCATAATTTTATAGATAATGCATCTTGATTTTATTAAATAAGTTTGATAAATTCAACGCTTAAGAGATACGCAAATCTTATAATATAATATCTACAATAAATCAACAATGCTATTATATACATTTTGATCTTTCCGCAAATATTACGGAATATATTATTCGTCTTTCGGATTTAAGTATTAAGATTATTTGAATGTATTACCTGTAGTTCATACGTTAATTATTAATTATACAAGTAAGATCGATGTTTAGAATTGGAGATGTATAATCTATTTTTCTATCGTTTTAATTGAGATTCGTGTAAACCAAAAAATGTAGTTGTATAACAATGTTGAAAAAAAGATCACGAAAATAAGTACAAGAGGGAGATTAACCAAAAGAATGTGTACGCTCTGATTTCGCCTAAACATTTCTCGTTCGGAATATGTATATTAATATAATTTGAAATTGTAAGTATAGTTGAATATATAGCACTTCTCAATGCAAAAGTAATTAACGCAATAAAAGCCTAAAGCATGTGAAGTATTTTTTAGTAAAAGTTAGTATTTTGGTAGTCACAGTGCGAAGAGCAATGTAGAATCTGATTGAATCTTGTTGCTGTAACTAAATACGAAAAATAGTCGAACGAAAGTAATATAAAACACCATTTTTTATTGTTCTCTAATAAAATTTTATCTATTTATTTGATGATTTATTTCAAATTTAATAGAATTTTTATGTATTTCCTTATTAACGATTCGAGAAAACATATTTGAAGTTTGAGTTTTGTTAATAATGAATGGTGCTAGCTAACGAGATAACATTGTTATCCTTAGCATCTTTAGAGATAAGCATACTGCATAGACGTAAGTCCGATATTGTTTTCCTCAAAATATAGCGCGCATATACCATTTTATTTATGATTATATTTAATCATATAGATAGAAAAGATGTACATGTAATGTTAAATAATTAAATAGATTTATTCCGCAAAATATTCTTTTGCGACATTAATATCATCACCCTTTTTAACATGCTTTTTTTGTTTTTTTATTAAAATAAATCGTGCATTAAAAAATATTAAATATTTTTTTTATGAGATTATTATAAATCTGTTATCGATGATTTTGTTTAATATTAATATTGAACAAAAATGCTATTTGTACAGATAAAGGTTATTTATGGAAAAGTTTGTAATTTATAGAGATAATCTACGCGTTGCTTTCTTTGGACACCTTGTATAACCAATCATCAATTATATATTAATCGTAAAAGATCGCACTGTCATCATGTGTGTGTTCACTATTCCATCACGTGTGCGTAATCACCATAGACGTTATATACGTCTATGTGCTAGTAAGGCTTCTTGTTAATATCTCGGCGCTCGCGCGCGCGCGCGCGCGCGCACCTAGGTCTTGTCGTACTTAATAATAATTACTTATGACATTTATTGTCATTATATATATATATGATGATACATATATATATATATATATATAAAGCCGAGACCGAGGATTAATGAATAATTAATACTATTGTTATTATATAATAATAAAGAAAACTTATTTTGTAATTTAAAAATAATTTTTTATTTTTTTATGAGCAAATCGTTAACTTTCCTAAAATTGTTGGAAAATATGCGAATAATTTTAATGATTGTCAAATAATTTTCCTAGTTTATATTACTACCTACTTAAATATAGTTTATATTTAGATAAAACAAGAGCCAATACCGAACAACAGGATTCTAAATAATATTATAGTTTAATATTCCGTCAAAATAACTGGGAGCGTTTCGTGCTTTACAGAGACTTTTTCAATCAATCAAATAAATCCCTCTAATAAACTGTAATACATTATCATAATAATATCCCGTTACATAAAAAATCCGTCGAGAGATGAAATCAATTAACAGAAAGTTTAAGGGGATGCTGGAGCCGTAGCCGAACTCGATGAGCGTCGATAAAGAAGTGCTCACCGACTATATCTGTCCTTGTATAGACAAAGATATAGACAAGGATAGCACGCTACATTGCACGCACACATACGCACGATGCACATCGACATTATACTTTTATATTACGCTTCCAAATCTTGATTTGGAGGGTTTATCGATGTTTTTCTTGTTGTGCAATTCGGGGGAACTTGTTTTCGCGTTCGTACCAATGGTATATCTCTTATATGAAATACATCTTGATACGAGCTGACAGCTCGCCGCAACTCGAGACGCCATATTGGGATAAAAGTAGGATAAGGAAATCTGTACTTCCGTAATTTTTTCTCGTTTTCTATATAAAATCGGAGTTCCCCCGAATCATTAATGTATGTACTGCAATTCTGAAGAAGGATTTTTAATTCTGTCAAATTAATACGACCCTACGTGCCGACAAAAAATGCCGGTAAAACAGACGGCTCCAGCATCGCCTTAAATACAACTTCATTAAGCCACCTACCCCCACCATTGAAGTTTCCAGACCTGGGGCCGTATTCTGTTCCGGTAAAATCCGCTTACCGACAATTGTCGGTGTCGTTGCGCAGGTTTTTCATATCGTGTAAAAGCTGCGCAACGATATCGACAATTGTCGGTAAGCAGATTTTAGCGGAACAGAATACAGCCCCTGTATGTAAGACCGTGGGTATAACATCGTTGACAGCTGTCGTGACTGGTTACAGTGGTTACTGCGCAGGTTCCGCGAATCTGATTCGCACGTCTAAAATATCGGTGCGTTCCGAAAGTCATCGAAAGAGCATTTCGGTCTTTCTATCCGCGAGATTAGTTACGATCAAGAAGACTAGAGACCAGGGGCCCGATTCTCTAACGACAAACGTATGCGCAAACTCTGCTCTAACAGAAAAGCTGCAAGCTTATTGGCTAAAAACTGTGCGATAGCCAATCAATTTGCAGCCTTTCTGTTAGAGCAGAGTTTGCGTATACGTTTCTCGTTAGAGAATCGGGCCCCAGGAGACCAAACTCCTTAAAATTTCAGTGGTGGGGGTGAGTCAAAATGTGGTCCGGCGCTGTTCGCAGTATGGTCGCCTGCCAATTCATGAACTACGGCGTGCTGGATTTCCGGTGCAAGATGGTGCAAGAGCTTCGTGCAACATAACCAAGAACATCAGCTTGGCATCTTGGCAGATGTAAACACTGAATTTAATTTTGATGTCGTAAGTATTAATAAATAATATATGATACTTAGGAACGACGAAGTTCACATAGGAAACTTTTTTTGGATAAAACAAGTGATAAAAAAAATACGATATTCTGTGTTGTGAAATATAATTAATTGAATTTTTTTGCATAGGGCACTGAGTCTGGAAAAGTAATTGATGCAAACATGGGCGAATATCGAGAAGAAATTGAAGAAAGATTCGTAAAAGCAGGTTGCGAAATACACGGCGACTACAGGATTGCAAAGACATGCAAAAATTGTCTATTTAAATATCTACAAAAAAATGCAAAACTCATTCAGTTGCCACATGAAAGTTGGGGATTTGTTGCGCAAGATCACCGCATAATATTTGCTAAAGCAGAGAATGATTATACTATAAAATTAAATATGATCATTGATTCTCGAACATGAACGGAGAGATATATTTTAAACAAAACCATATAAAGTGGCTAATACCTGAGCCAGAATCAGTGAGAGATATTGTTGAAAGTTTGAATTGTATTGATAAACTCTTGGTTTTTCAAAGCATATAAATTTTTGTAATGAAATTGATAATAGCTTCCTCAGAACAGCTAAATTGTACATAAAAATGTTTATTGATATTGGATGTGTAAAATGCAATGTAATTTTTTTTAAATAAAATTATGGTTTTTCCTTTATATTTATCTCCCTATATTTTTACATAACTTTAGATATATATTATAACTTTAATAATATAACTTTTATTCAGTCTTTTTTTTAACGAACACTTGTTTTTATTCAAATACAATTTCAAATACACTTACCTTCGGAAATCCAAATAGCGTCCTTTTATTCGAATCCAAATTGGGACATTTACTCTCACAATTCACAATGCAACACACTTTAGACATGATTTCACTTTGTTTTAAACGGTTTGCAACAAACAAGAAGACTAGAGAACAAACAACGTAAAGATTCGAACTTATCCAGCACGTAGCGTAGTTCATGAATTGGCCGGCGACCATATTGCAAACAGCGCCGGACCACATTTTGACTCACCCCCACCACTGGAGTTCGGTCTCCTGGTCTCTAGTCTTCTTGGTTACGATCGAGCGAATTTTTATTATAATTCGACATTTAACTACCGGTACGTGAAAAATACGTGATCGCAGTAGGACTTTAATGAAGCTTAAGCATTTAAAGTAGTCGCCTGTGTAAAGTGTGCGCGTTTGTCAATCCATATGTGACTGTCAATCTTTTTTATCCTGAGGCTTTAACCTATCACCCATCACACCAAATGATTTATGAGCTTTGGTGTTTGGCGGAGTTTTATGGCGCGTGCTGAGGTAAATTGTTGCATTTTTTCCTTCCGAATCCATCAGCTGGTGGCTCACTTTTAATTGAAATTTGCAGCCCACGAAAATGTTGGGGTCATGAGAATTGCCACATTGCTTCCAGAAGTGTACATTTTATCTCTATGGCTAAGGGAAAAATAAGAGGTTCTGACTCCAACAATAAGGTATGTGTGTTGCAGTTGCGATTCACGTGAGTGATCATTGTATCTTTACAAATTGATATGGTATATTTTGTCATTAGATAACAGCATCAAATGCAGCATTCAAAAATGGAGAAACCTATACGTCGGAATTTGAGATTAACGAGACACCACCCAGCGCTAGAACCTTACTTACCAAGGGCTACACGCAGGATGAAATTAATTCGTTTTCAGGTAAATTTCTTTTTATTTTGACTTATGTTACACGTTCTTTATGTGAATGTATCGATATTGTTTATTATTGTATATTCTGCGTTAACTTATAGGAGCAACTGTATCGACACGCGGGCGTTTTATGACAGAACAAGAAAAGTTACGTTGTCCAAATGAGAGGCCATTGTATCTTTATATACAGGGACATACAAAACATAACGTTGATTGTACGTATCGTATCATATCATTTTTTTATATTTTAATATTACTGATTCGCGTATCTAATAGATATTTTATTTTACAGTGGCGATACAAAAGATCAATGAAATTATTAAAACGGAACATCAGAGTTCTCTAAACAGACCAAGCAGATTTACAAATGCTCCGCCACCTCTTATGAGCTTACATTCTGGAGTAACAAGTGTGGTAAATAACATCTTTTATTTATATCTTATTTACAATTTCAACAAGTTTTCTTGTGTATTAACTGATGTGCAATTTATTAGGAAAAGATTTGTGTTGGTATCGAGAATGCGCCACAAGGTTTTGACTTACGCGGGCGAATATTAGGCGTTGGTGATGCAAATTTAATGTATATTAGAGGCGAGACTGGGGCAAATGTAACCTTAAGAGGAAGAGGATCTCAGTTTATTGATCCAGTTTTGGGAGCAGAATCTCCAGAACCACTTCACTTGTATATAGAGTAAGAACGCCTGAGATTTTGTGGCATGTAGTGATTATAATCAGATAAGATATAATTAATAAAATACTATTTCTTTAGGCATCCGAAGTCAGAAGCACTGCAAAATGCAAAACAATTGGCCATCAACTTAATTCAAACGATACAGTCCGAATTACAGACCTATATTCAACAACAGCCACCACCAGTACAACCTCAGCAAGTCATAGAGCAATCCCAAATACCGCAAAGTATGTATTTATTGTTCTTACTTTGCAAAACTAAGATAACTATTTATTCATACATAAATTGTATGTGATTCTTTTCCGCTTACAGCTCAATTCCAAACTATGAATATCGGTAGCTTAGGCCAACCAAACATGGTCGCAATACAGCATCAAGGTAGGATATACAAATCATGCATTATTAGTAATTGTTATAAAGATACAATTTTTTTCAAACTGACATACATTTTTTAATATATATTTTACACCTTATGTAACAGATATTATACAACATTCACAAAGTAATGTTGTAACCTTGCCTGCAACAATTCTTACGGCTACCGTAGCTGGTACTCCAGGACCTGGTGTATCAGTTCCTCCTCCAGGAGTACATATACCACCTCATACTGGACCATTAGTTCCACCCCCACAAGCTCAGGTGATTAAACTCAAATTAAGTGGTGTTACATAAAGCCGTTTGAAAAGAACAATTCTTTGTAACAAATTTTATTCTCTCTCTTATTAAAGGAAATACAAACTTTTATGTCACCACCACCTGTTGGACAAGTACAATTAATCGGTCCTCCGTCAACAGTAAGTCAAGTTCAATATCAGATACATCCTGGTCAACCATTACAAATCCAAGGACTTCAACCAGGATCGCAATCCTCGCCACAGCCTGTAGCGCAAATGTATGTCATGAGTCAACCGCCGCCACAAAATCCGGCGCAGCAGAGTTTCATAACGAGCAGCAACGCGCCGGTGAGTGGGGCAGTGTCGTATGTATATACGCAACCGAACATGCAAAGGCCCGCTACGCCATCCCAAGGAATTATCGAAACCGTTAATGTGAATTTGCAACAACCTCCCCCAGCGGCGCCGCTCAATATAACGCAACAACCGCCACCGCCATTGTTGCATCTTCATTTTCCGCCACCAAACTTCCCACCGAATCAACCACCTCCTCCCGTCCCGCAAACCTATCAGATACAGTATCAACAGGTACAGGCACCCGTGTCACAGTCGCAAACGCAGTTTGTCTTGCAGTCCGGCGAGCATATAGTTCCGCCTCAGTTACAACAGAATCATGAACAATCTCAACATATGATACCTCATCAATTCGAAGGTCACGCACCGCCATTTCATTTACAAGTACCTCCACCACCGTCTGCGCAAACTTTCCTAGTACCTAACGCTCAGTCTCCTCATCATCCACAACCGCCACTTCCTCCCGGCGGTGAAATTCAACATCAGCAAGAGGGCCCGGACCAGGGACCGTTGCCGCAGCCGGTACCCCCTCCGCAAATAGTACCACCGCCGTCAATCAGCCAGATGCCGAATTCCATGAATATTCTTACCAGCGTACCACCACCAACGCAACCGCCTCCACCGCAAAATGCTCCGTGGCTATACCAAGCTCAGCAGCCACAGCAGATGCCACAACCACAAGGGCAATTGCAGGTAATGACGCTTGACATTTAGTGTTCTTTGTTTGACGCGTGAAAAATATGTGATGGCCTAATCAATTATTTATAGATGCAATTGCCACCGCAGAATATACCTCTTCATAATGTACCTCCACCGCAAGTTCAAGCACAAATACAATATCATCCTCAACACCACATACAATATCAAAACGGTCATATACCGACGCAAGTACATTACACGATGCAACCGCCGCATCAGCAATTCGAGCAGAAACCCGATTCGCCAGAACAGCAAAAATCACATGGAGTAAAGAGAAGGTTCTCGGACGTTGAGGGAGGTCAGGTAAAGTGCGATCTGCAAATATGTACGCATCAGATTGAAATGTGCGATAGAAATCATTCTTACAAATCTCTTTTAAAATATATGTCACAGGAACCACCACCGCCGCCACCACCATACCAATGTGCTCCGTTACCTGCGCAACGGCACGGCACAGGGTAAGTCGAAGAAAGAGAGAATATAATTATTTTTAGAGATTATTTATAGAGATGCTATAATGTATAAATTAATGTAACTGATAAAGTTACATTATATACTCCTTGTGTACAAAATGTAAACATTATGTGTACAGTAAGGAGGATTAATTCGCTGGGTTATAGTATCTTTACTTATCGGCGTAAAAAAATCAAGGTGAATTAAAAAGAGAGACCTAGTTATTTCTTATTCTTCTCGTTATACTTTTTAATATTTCGATGAATAGCGCACGTGTTGATTATTAAAGACCCAGCGACCGGTAAGTCAGGCTACTATGACTCATCGAATTAATGCACCTTATTGTATCTATGTACCTATGTACATATTACCTATGTATAATAGAGGAGTATATAAACTAACGTAACTTTTTACTAATTTTATATAACTAGTTATACCTTGGTAGACTGTGATGAACAAAAAACTTATGTGTTTGAATAAAGTTGGTCTACCAAGTGTGTAAAATTCTAAATAAATACTACTAAGAAAGCTGATGATTTTCAGAATCATAGGATACTGTAGCATAAACGTGCAATGAATTTAGTCGAAGATTAGAAAGAACTTTATCGATATGAAGAAAGAAATTGATAAAGAAACAACTGCTTCAGATCGCTTATGCTTCACTTGTAGCAAGTGTAAATTTTGTAAATTATTGTAGAATTACATGAAGAAAATGTAAGTCATTATTGTCATTTTCTTACAGAAACCTGCTTTTGCATTATAAGGTGTTGCACAATAATATTAAAAGTGCAGAAAAAGAAATTTTAATATTTTATGAGATTTTTATATAATAGATATTTTTTATTCACAGATATTCATTGCTATTCTCCAAAATTTAATACGTTAATAACTATACGGACAAGAATTATTAGCTGCAAGATCTAGATATATCCATGTTAAGATATAAATTATTTTTGAGCTTGTGAACTCAGAGTTTTTAAAAATAATTTAATTTGATAGAAATTTTCAACTTTGCGTTGTTTATAAATATTTAATAATTTTGGAATCATGGAGATATCTTGCTCTTTCACACACACACAGAATATTATTCCTTTTTTTGGATCTCGCATGGTTGTATAGATTTAAAAAAAAATATGAAGCAATTTTATTATCTTTGCAAAATATAGTGCAAAGATAATAATATACTTGCATTTTCCTCATGTTATACATAAATCTATATTAGAATCATTAAATACAGCTTTTGCCAGAATCACCAATTATATGTTCCTTTAGTATAAGTAATGATCCAAAAGAGACGAAATATGTGATGATATAGTTGCTATTTTGCAGAATAGAAGTTAAAATAATCATAGATGGATTATTTGAACGTATATTGTAATGTTCTGCGACATTACAATTACGTTCTTAAGAACATTCTAAATGTAAGTTTCGACATCATTAACTGTGATCTGGTAAAACCAGGTATTTTCCATATTTCAGAAGTATCCGAGGGTGTGCATCAGGTGATTTTTGTCTTAATGCTTGAAACGTTTCTGTACAATCGTTATTTTGGAATTAATAATTCACACCTGCATTGTTTAAGCAGAGAAGGTGATCGACAACAGCAAGTCTTACATGGTCCATCACCCACACCTGCGGGTCTGCCACATGGAGATCGAAACAAGATGCTAATGCCACCTCCACATCCAGGTCTGTAACTAAGAGTATTTAGCCTAAAAAATTGCTGGGTATCTTTTGAAAATGGAAAATGCAACAGAATATTATAAAAAGATATGTCAGTAAAAAGATTGTATTTTTGAAGGCATTTATCTTTAATTACTTAATCGAGACTTTGGATTCCTTCTTTAATACAACTTTGTTATTGGCAATTACCCGATATAATATAATCATTTAGCTATAATTTGGGTATGAAAAGTAATTAAATTTACTAAATATGTTTCGGATAGATATCTAGCATTGTTTTCTTAATACTCTTAGACCGTAGTATATTATTATTGTAAATAATATTTTGCGGTAAGCATATTTATAAAAACTTTCCTTGATCTTTTTTAATTTACGTCTTAGCGAATTGCTTTTTTACGCATTTGTTGAGGGTACCTGCAGAGACGGACATCCGGAAATAACATGGATTATTGCATTCTCACATTACATAGAATGCTTTGATATATAGTTATCTTTAAATTTATTTTTATTATTTTAGATTAGACAAAAAAGAGCACTGCACGTGTTACATACAGTTGCGAAGGTGTCTCAAGTATATTAATTTTAATGCTTTTTTTTATAGTGCCCTTTTTATTAAATAAATCTGCATTTTCAGATGCAAGTGTAACCTGTGATTTTCTACTTCAGTGTTTGTTTATCCAGTATTAACAATATTTAATACTATTAGATTATGTTAAGGCATATTATACATATATATATTTTTCGTGTTACTGTTTTAAGTTCAATGTGCCTTGGACTTTATATTTCTTAGGTTAAACATACGTCTCCACCAGAGATTACTACCAAGGAGGGATATAGATGACTACTACGTTTAAAAAGTTATATATATTTAATGTTATATATTATGTAACATTAATACGGAATAACACATGATTTGTATATCATATAGTGATATCGTTTTTATTGTTGCAGTGTTCTGAGCAGTTATCTGTCATGGAAAAAGTCGAAGAAATTTGAAGAATATATAGTTTTAATGATTAAATAAACTTTACATCCAGATAGCAAATAACTGTATGGCTTCAAATTTTTAGCGTAATTGATAACCATCTAATACACAAGAACGTAAACATTGCATTGCTTGCTTTCAGACTCAAATAGTGATTGCCAAATCGCTCTACTGATTTGGCAATGGTTAATGGCGTGAAATATTGTCCTAATATTAATTTAGTCTTGTAAGATTAGAGATGAATTTAGAAAACTAAATTTCTGTTTATTGCTACAGTGATACGTCTCAAGCGGAAGATGAAAACCGGCAGCAGTCTTCTTATTATACAGATACAATCTTGGCAATCGTCTCGCAACTAGATTTGCATCTAAATTCAGAAAAAAATTAATTTTACATTTTTTATTCGTAAACGATAACATATCATTCAATATAGATATTGGAATCGTCAAGATTAATTATGCGTGTATGCGCGTTTTGTTGGATATAGCGAGAATTTTTAAGTTTATTATTACATTACAATATTTCATCGCATAATTGCCATGTTAAATACAATATTATGTTACGTATAGTTACTTAAGAATATATATTCTATTCTCTTCATATCATGTATCTTAATCGTTTAGGTGAAAAACGGAACCTGGACCAAAAGCTTGCAGGACTATCTTCAGGTACGGTGTATGATATGTCGTTATATCGATAAATATAAAACATATTTTATATTTCCCATGCAAATTTAGATTGTATGATATATTTTGTAAATAGGAAATGATCAAAATATAATTGCTGAATCTGGAAATATTCATGTCGGCAATGGTCCACCTCTACCGCCTCCACCTTCGTCACAGGCGCCATGGCAAAGTCATCACATGAGGGTTCCTTGGTATAGACCACCGTCAAGGGAAGGGGAACCTACCGGAGTTTGTCCTGGATTACCTCCTATTAATCTGCCTCCGCCTCAGATCAGGCCACGAGGTAGGCATTTGATTTATTCATCGCATCAAACTAATTTTTACCGTAAGATCTTAAACATCCTATTTTTTTCTCGTTGCGATTAATCGATTCTTTTTTATTACATCAACCTTTTTTTCAATATAAATAATAAAAGTTAAAGATAAAAAATCTCTATATTATCGTAATTCTTTTACGCACAATATGTGACGATTTAAAAATCTTCAAGGACGTGGTGGTGCTGTCCTTAGGTCTCGCTGACGGTAATCGCTCTCCCACTCAGAACGCCGCGTTAGAGCAGTCGTTGAACGTCGAGTACAATCAAATGCCGCCCTATACGACGAAACCGCCGCCTTACAATGCGCATCCATTGATGCAGTCGATTTGCAATCCGCCGCCACCACCGCCGCCGCATCACCAACAACCGCGGCCGCAGCATCCTCCACAAACAGTGCAGCATTATCAGGTGCCGATATCTCAGACATATCAGCCACCGACATCCTGTCCGCCGTGGATGAACTGAAAGTCGTAATACTACAAGCGGCGTTTCTTGCTCCGTTTCTTGTATCTTGATGATGATCGATGCGATTTGATGAAAGCGACGATGTTTCAATGGGTGACATTAATAACAGAGCGACGAAAATCAAGCTGCAAGGATCTGATGTAAATGAACAGTTGGAACTGCATCGTGTTATTTGCACTTAATTGTATGTTCCTTACGACAGTTATAATTTAATAATCTATTTCAAGGAGGGAGAATACTGAACAGTGTGTAAAAATTTGTAAAAATGTTAAAGATTATTTATACTGTATAATTTAAATTTGGTATACTAAGAGAAAGAAAGAAAGAGAGAACGCTAGTGAGAAAGAGAGAGAGAGAGATAGAGAAAAAGAGAGGTAATGTAAGATTACGTAATGAAAATAATGTTGGCGAGATAGATACTTATTAATTGTAGAGTTTATCTTGATGATCACTCAAAGAATGTGATTCTTGTATAGCATATGTATGTATGGAGAAATAATAATAGTGTTATTTTATTTTGATGGACAAACAGGTCTACCATTGCTCGTCCGAGGATTATTTGTTTTTCGCGTACTCACGAGAGTAATAATCCATCTTATATATTTCCTCTCGGTAAAACTATCATCTCTCCCATTTACTTATAGATAGATATATAACATGTATAACAATGTATGCAATTTTTTATGCAAAGCCAATAATAAACCGTTATTGCCAATTAAGTAGCTACTTTTACACCGACAGCCTCTGCATATCGTCGCGTTTCTGCCGCGCGGAACGGATTGCCGTTTTCCACGTCAACGCGATTTAGCAAACAGCGATAAAACCGCACCGTTCCCATTTACAGCGAGCAATCGTCGCAATTAGCTCCGTTAAACGCCGCTAGGTTGACGGGAGGAGGGAGTAGCAGCGGCGGCGATCAAATCCTCACCAAGGCGTCCGTGTTCCGGGGGCAGGCAAGGGGGTGGCAGGGGACGAAGTTCCGCTCGATACAAATTCGATAAAGCCGCTGGCGGCCCGCAGGACTCGCTCGTTATCCGGATCTGGCGGTCTGTTAGCCGCTACGTCAGAAAACTTGCAGCCTTCGTCGTGTTACGCGACCGCCGCGTACCCGATACTTTGGGAAAGTTTAATTTGCTGGGTAGCGGGACGCCCTGGATCGCCGTCGTTGCGAATTCTTCCTCCGGAAGCGAAAGCTCGAGAGAGAATTTTTGCCGCGTATTCACGCGACTCGAAGCGTCGCTATTAATCTCCGAGGAGCTCAATGCTCAAAATGCACGAAAAACGATAAGGAAAAATGGCTTCAATATTAAACTTGACGATGCATATTTTGTTGAATACAATTCTTAAAATACATAATATGTTAATAGAATTATTTCAATATGAAAATCTTAAAACATTCGTCAAATATGGAACATCGCGTACGAAGAAACGATCTGTAAAATATCGTCACTGATCGTTAGCGTGAAGCTTAACGCGAACGACCGTGTTACACGTGTATGAATGCTATGAATTGACAAATTACACGCGTCGATTGCGATATTGATCGGTAACCTTCCTCCACGCGGGAAATATTTTGTGCTTCGTTGGACAACAGGTAAAGGCTGTGTCTCGGCTATTCCGAATATATAGAATCGATCATCGTAATCAGGGCCATCGTCTGAATCGGTTACCACATCACAGGGATGCTCGCTGCGGCCATAATCGCTTTTCGGTAATGTCGCTTTGTCCGTCGTCGTCTCATCAGCTTGTCGCAGCGGCGATCGCTTTTCGACGTGCCCGCCGAAAATTTCCGAAAGACTTCGGCCTCGAAAGCACTGTCGAACAACGTACATCCGGAAACACCAAGGTTTACACCGGTTCAGCCACGTGAAAAAGACATCTTTTTTTAAATAGAAAATCATAATTGTATAATAAAAATAATAATTAATGACACATTCGTTGCGTTGTGTGGGTTTTAAGATTCCCGTGATAACTTTTGCTCTTGAATCATAGACCAGATCTCATTTCCTTCCGATTTCACATCATGATTCACGTCAACCGTATCGAGAGCGATTCATTATCGGCGCTTCTGACGGATGCACATTTCCAGACGCAGGAAACCGCGACGAGCCGCGAAGGGCCCATCAATCAAGCGAGATCGAGCTCCACGCTGGTGAGACGCGCATGCAACTCGAGATCCGATCACGTTTGTCCGGCGAGCGTGCGGAATCGCGGCTACGACCGTTCCTGCGACAAGGAGAACTCGATCGGCTGCAGTTGTTGTCGGACGAGAAACGCCGGCGAGGACATTTCGGAGCTGCGGGACGAGTGCAGCGGCGGAGATGCGGTCGATACAGTGCCGAGCAGGGAGTGCGAGGAGTTCGTGCCGTCGCGCGCCGATCGCAAAAATGGATTTGCGAAATCGCTCGACCGGGACAGGTTCGCCTTTATTTGAGATATCTCGGTTTTGCGATGTTTTCGCTAAATAAACTAGCAATTATACTTGTCCTATTACATTATTGCATTAACAAGTATTATGAAAAGATGTGGCACGCTTAAAAAACGATCCTTACCGAATCTCGTAATAAAGAAGACAAACCTTGAACGTTTTAAGTCTTAAAATCATGCAAAGAGGCAAAGCGCTCTATGATTAACATATTTTGTGCCGCGTGGGTCAGGCCGTTTGATATTTTGGCTATAAAAAAAAACATAATTAATATCTGAAATTATAATTATCAGTGCAATTTTAATACCAAGAGTCATCTATAATCCATGTGGCACAAGTGATAAATTAATGAAAATGGCGCGGAATGGAACGTGTGTTGAAAGCATCTCCCGTAAAATCATCCCCCTTTCGCGAATGCAGGTATGACGTAGCGTCGAGATCGACCGACGGCAGCGAGGCTGTCAGAACGATAGAACGGATCCCGCAATCCCTGCATCCAATATCCTATCATCATTGCAAAACGCAGTGCTCGCGTTCGAACGTGGACCCCGTAAATAATCCGCCGTGCGACTCCGCACCCCACGAGAGGCACGATAAGGTCGCGTGCGGCGACTTTACGGCAGACAGGGGCAAGGAGTTCGCGTCGACGAGTTGTCGCGGAACATCCATCGATCTTCATGGCAGCGCGGAGGAGGGCGTCGTTATCAACGATGGTCGGGGTCGCGGTCCGGATGTCAAAGACGCGTGGACGAGGGCGAATGCCTCGGCGACCCATCGGAAAATTGTCGATTCGATCTGGCGATGCGAGTGTCATCCGCGTGAAGACTCTATTCCGAATCTGTCGAGATCGTCGTGCGATCGTAGCCGCGACGGGTGCCACCATCGCCACGATTATCGTTGCGATTACTTCCATCGGCATTGCTGTTATCAGCAGCGCGACAGCTCGTGCATAAATGTCAAGGGGTTAATAAGAAATCTTTTTATAATACTAAGGGAAATCCCCATACGTAAAGTATCGATCGTCGCACTTCGTATACACATTGCTAACAAGTTTTATAAAAAAAATATCGTTATTTTAGGAAAGAAATCGGGATGAATAAAAAGGGGTGAGACGGAGGATACGTGACTGAGGGGGATGAAAACGCCCCGCAGCTGCAATCTCTGTTTAATTCACTCTCTTCGCATCATTCATATTGCAGATGCGAGACGCGCGGGAGCGACGTCTCCGGCGAGAAAGCTCAGCACAAAAGCTGGCGCGATCAGATGCGAGGCGAGAATAGTCGATTGTACGCGCGGCAGTGTTACTCGAAGGAGTATTCTGGAATAATACCTGCCTCTCGTGAGCGGAACGACGAGGAATGCAGGGAGAAGAACGACGACGACGACGATGATGGCGAAGACGAGGACGACGACAGCGGCGTGGCCGTTATCAATCACAAGGACTCTATGTGCATCCTCGCTGAAAAATATAAAGCCGGCAGGAAGTGGCGCGGCAGAAGGTGCGGGGATAGGGAGCGATCGGGCGACAGGATGGGGGACAAGGACGAGTGTAACAAATCGTTGACTTCGGAAATCATCGATCAGCCGGAGTCGCCGCTCGAGATCGTAAACGCGGTTCCGCACGAGGGACCGAGCGTAAAGCACGTTTGCCGAGCTGCTGCACGTTGCGAGAACTGCGGAATCGCGGCGATCGCGAGGACGTGTGGTCGTGGATGTGGCCGACACGGGCCGCCAGAGGGTGAATTCGACCGATTGAAGTCCCCTTTGAACGAGACGGCTGCCACCCGCTGTTGCTCGAGTCGAGCGCCTTGTAGACGCGTCTTCTAATTCAATTTCGTTCCGTAAACACGTTCACGGACTTTTTACGCCAATTTTCTATTTTCTGGTTATTTTCAACGTCCAACATTTATCGCGCGCACCAGCCATTGGAATAAAAAACGATTTATAATTTATTTGAAATTGCGCTTCTACATTTTGATCCGTGCTACATGAAAAATTTAAGCAAAATCCTCGCAACTTTTACACCTTTTTCCGTTCCAACTAAAAACTTTTTTTTTGCAATATTTGCCCGCCGTATTAACGCAGCGAAATAGTAACAGAGTATTAAAACGCTAAACGTTGAGAATAAAAATTATGCAAATCAAATTTTCGACAAGTCCATGAAACCGTTTAGCCTGTATTGTCCGAATTAAATTAACGTTGCATAGGCGGGACAATTAACTTTTAACTCGTTTTACTCGTAATACGCATGCTAGAGAGCCAGTTTCCGTCCGGGGAAATTTTAAGCTCGCTACAGAAGCGCGGAACGTTAACGGAGTTATCGAACGTAAGCATGTGCATTAAAATCCGCGGTGTCTCCGGCATTCGGCAGCTTTTCGCTTGCTGGACTCTTTGTGCTCGTTGTCTCGATTCTTTTCTCGCACCGTTCACCCGCAGCTTCCATGTTAATTGGCTCATCCCGCCGGTCTCTGAAAAGGATTCCGCAGCATCGCGACGCTTTTCTCTTCCCCTCGCGGAAAGTTCGGCTCTCTCTCCGAGTCCACTAGTCTTGCACGTACGTGTCTGTTTCTTCGTCACGTTCCGACTCTACTTCGATTTCTCGACCTTTTTGCCAATCTTCCGCCATGTCGATCCAATACATGCCATTGTCCACCAGTTTTTTAAACGATTCGTCGAACTCTTCTACGTGAACGGGGTTCTCTTCGCTGTATTCTGTTTGCATATTTGAATAAATATATTTTAGTATTTTTAAAATTTTTACAATATAATTTTAATCTCTCTCTCTCTCTTTCTCTGTGATATTATTGTTTTACAAAATCGTCACCTTCCTCCGCCAAGCGAGCACGCATCAATCGATTATTAAAAACACGTTGAAGTTCCTCGCCAGCTTCCATCAAGTCCTCTCGATCACCGAATTCCGTGGGGATCTCTACGCGGGCCATGACTTCGTCGAAAACCTTTTGATGCAAATTTTTTAGAATTGCTCCCGTCACCGCTGATCTCGTTGATTCTACCGATGGATTAGCGTCACTTCTTTTCTGGCGATATCGTCTGTAAGCTTTCTATGACATTCGTGACAATTGATAATTATTTCTCTTCGGTTTTCGGCATAAAACTGGCAAAATATAATATATAATAATTTTACGTAATATAATACAAAATAACTTCAGCTATTTAATTTACCTGTATAACGGACGCAGCTTCGTTTGCTCTCATCGGTGTCAGTCCTGATTCTTCGTACATCGTATCCAGCCAAGCTACTGCTTGAACGGCCTCTCCGGGTTCTATTATGTCTACCTCGCTTTCTTTTTCTTCCTCTTGCGGTTGTATATCCTCTACGGAAAGTCATGCGCACGATTTTAAATACTATTCTAGTGCGCCGAGGCGCATCTGAGTGATCTTACTCATTTTCATTTTTAGGTTCCTTCTCGTGTAGTACCCGCGGTAAGTAGCCTGTATTAGAATGGCGGCTTTCGACGCTTCCGCTTGCGAAGCTCCTGCCTTCCTCAAAATCTCGAGGGTCCTTGCTGCCGCCCGTTGCCATTGAATCATGCCGCGGGACTCGTTTAACAGCATCCTCTCGTAATGCCCGCGGAAAGCTGCCTGATTAATAACACCGAAAATGACTCAAAGAGCCGCGAGCCACGATAAAGCTCCATGATAGAGGGGTCCTCGTTAGATCTCGTATAGTAATTAGCGCATACTTGTATTATCGTGGCATGCTTCTCCGCCTGTTCCAGCGGGACCCCCGTCGCTTGCAGAATACTTTGCAGAGATACCTTGGATCTCTCGTCGCAAGTCGCGTCTAGCGGTCGAAAGGGGAGGAATTACTCTCGCATACTTTTTGCCCGTTGTGCTTTATAGAAATGTCGGGCGCGCGGCGGATCCACCCGCCGCAAAATTGTTTTTCTACATAATTCACCGTGTAATTACCGTCGCACACCTGGGCCGCTCGCATGTCTACCGCGTCCAAGTACGCGCGGAACGCCGTCTGAGCGCAAAAAAGGTAGAAAAGAATCTCTGAAATATTATTTAACTGCTGGATCCTTATCCGGCACGCGACAGTAAATTCTATACCTGAATCCTGGGCGCGGCGCGGGCGATCTGCTCTAAACTCAAGCCGCTCCGGTGAAGTACACCCACGATGGCCTGGCTCCCCAATAAAATATTGTTTACGACTTTCACCGCGACTGCAATTGCACAATTGTACCGTAGAACGCGATGCACGAGTATAGCGCGATTTATTACTTTACCGCACGCGGATGATATACACACGCGATCATTCTCCGTGACCTTTGAATTTACATAATGATTCGTGGGATAAACTGGTGTGTACCGGTGCGAGTGCATCAGTAATTAATTAGCTTAACGTTCCAATTAGCGTCTGTTTGCGAACGAATAATATCAAGACATCCAATGTTGTGAAATTGTTACATAGACGACGTTGGTACCTTTAGCATTTTCCCGTGTGATCAAAAGCGCTTCAACATAATCAGCAACGAAGCAATAAATGTTCCTCGGTTGCGAGCGTAGAACCTTTACGGATCAGATAATAATTTAATCGTCCTTTGACGTGACGGCGGTAAGTCAAATAACGATTTCATAGAGCGAACCTCGCGTGCGATGTCGGTGCATAGTTCGCGTAATCCTTCCGGGACCTTATATATGTGTTTAGCTCCATGTTTCTGGAGTAAAACGTTCATTTTCGTGATTATTGCTTCCGCCGAGTTGCTTGAATTTATCGACTCTTGCTCTTATCGCGGGTAATACGATGCGTGAAAGTTGCCAACTTTCGGTGGTAACGAGCACATTGATGAAGTTATGCATGGTGTAAGTAATGGTGAAGTTATGTATACTGAACTGAAGCTATATAACGGAGCGAGTAGATCAGGCCACACGGTGTTAATCTCCGGATAAAATCACATTGATAAAATATTATTAAAAAATATATAGGGGGAGTCCGGGAGACTTAACCATAGAGGAGAGTTGAACCACTTCAAATATCTCGTTCAAATTTTGAACAAAGAGCTCAATCCGAGCACGTGACAACATGACGCTTGATAGTGCGTTTCGACTGTGAGTGAGACAAACGTGTTTTAACGGGCTCGAATTGAGCTCTTTGTTCAAAATTTGAACGAGATATTTGAAGTGGTTCAACTCTCCTCTATGGTCAAGTCTCCCGGACTTCCCCTATATTATACGAAGAAATTATAATCTTATTTATAGTCGTTTTCATTAATGTTAAATTTCGTCGAAGTTGTTTCGCATGCAGAGATTATTCCGCGACCACGCAAACATTTCTCGATAACGCAATTCTCGATAAGTCAAATTGTTTATGTTTATTTTGTTATCGGTTTACGGACGTTTCTACGAATGTTTTTTGCTGACGGTATCATCCTCGAGACCTTTCATTGGCACAGTTCCACTTCGCGCCGTTAGCAAAATGATCTCTACGTTATCGTGGGGCATTCCGAGTGTTGACTGGACCTGACGTGGAACTCACGGTCAGTTCCTCATCGACTATGAGCGGCGAAAGCCATGCCGATTACGACCGCACGCGTTGCATTCTCGGTGGCTCTGTCGTTGCTTGCCTTACTACCGTCGCGTGAGTAACTTACATAATGTTTTGATCCGCGCTCCTGCTGTTGTTTCCGACGCCGTCTTACCGCTTCACGGAGTTCCGTGCGAAGAACGCTAAAATTCGCCCAACGCAGCGATGCGATTTAATTGTGAGATTAAGCGTCGCGTTCTCATCCGACGCGCTTCTGTATCGTCGCATAACGCGGGCAGGTCGTCGGGCGAACAGTGAAATTAATCTGGCGTGGATAAAAGTGACGTGCCCATAAAATCCGATCCGCAATAATTGTAAATAATGTGCAATGTGAGATGAGAGTAGTCTCGATATTAACACACACATCGCGATATTTCTAAGAAGTATTTCTATACTTGAAGCTAGAATGGAAATGTGACAGAAACCGAACGTCATTCCCGCTTACTGGAGGATGATTGAATATTCATGAACTAACGCGCGGTCACGAATTCCCTCACAAGTTTACATTGACCGGTTTTTGTAGTGTTCAAAGATCGAAGCAGTCGCGCGCTATACATAAGAATCCTTGAGAGTGTGATCTGTAGAATTTATTTCTATCACTGTGTGTGTGTGTTTCCCTTTTTATCTGTTGATATAATTAGCTCATTGGTTTTTTCCACTAAATAATAGTCTCTTGTTTAGCGATTGACTAAATTTCAACGCGGAATTAATAATATTCTCATATATATGTGATAAAGAAAATATATGTGATTTTCCGAGAATTAGTGGAAGCATTTACGCAGAAATTATGCACTTTTAGTGTCCCTACAGGATCGTGTGCGAATCTCGACTGGGTTTCCTGATCAATATGAGACAGCCGTGAATGGCCCACCAGGCCGCTCCAAGTGGAACGAGAACAATGATTTTTCCGGACCACCGGGTCATAATAAATGGGGGGATAGTAGCAGAGGACCGCCAGGTGGTCGTGGTCCTCCCGGATTAACGGGTGGCAGGCCTCTAATATTAAACGGAAATCGTCCTCCGGGCCGGAACAAAGTCGACACCAAAAGTTCATCCGAAGAAGGTGAAAACTATCCAAATAACGGTGGATTCACTCGAAGGCCTCATCCTGATTACGAAAGTACAGCCAAAGGTGAAAACTATCCATACAACTATCCAAATAACGGTGGATCCACCAAAAGACCTCGTTCCGATTACGAAAGCTTATCTAAAGGTGAAAACTATTCAAATAACGGTAGGTCCACTCAAAGACCTCATTCCGATTACGAAAGCTCATCCAAAGGTGAAAGCTATCCACGTGACTATCCAAATAACGATAG